CTACTTCCTTATTCTCTTACTGTCCGTTCAGAAAGGTCAGTCACCTATGTACAAATAAAAGTTGGGCTTCGTTTATGCTAGGCACTTCCCTTTTGAAAAAGTGCCGATTAAAATCTGTTCTCACTGCGTAGCTTTCTTTTATCTTTGACAGCCGTCACTATTACCCCCGCTTTACAGATTAGAGCACTGACACGGAGCGGCCGACCACCCTGCCCCCAGGCCCTCCGCGGAGCTGGGCCTTCCCCCACCCCGCCAAGTCTCGCGGTCTCCGCAGGCGCGGAGAGCACGAGCCTCTCGCCCCTAGCGGAGCAGCTGCGAGCTTCCAGCGGGACAGCAGGTGGTGGAGACCAGCTGCCCCTTCCCAGCCTGCGCCCCGATGCTGCGCGCCCTGACCGGCGCCCTGCGCCTGCCAGGCCCCTGGAGCCGCCCCCCGACCCGCGGCTGCGCCTCGGACGCGGCGGCCGGGGACCCGGAGATCCAAGTGCGCGCCCTGGCCGCCGCAGACCAAGGTAAGTGCGCTGTCCCGGAAGCCCCGGGGGGAGGCTGGGACGAGCCCGGGCCCGGCTGGAGAGGGCGAGCTGGGCCTCTGGCGCGGGGCCAGAGCGATGGCCGGCGCGCCCACTGCGCGGGGAAGACTGGGACGAGTGGGGAGAAGGATTTGATCCCAAGGCTCCCGCTTCCCAGGCTAGGCTCCCTAAGCCTCCCTAAGACCGGAGAGGTGGATGACCACCTAACTGGTCACTCCGATCCTAGTTGGGGTGGATTCTATCAACTTTGGTCCCTTCAGCCCTCCATTCGGTGGCCTGGACCTATGAAGAGAGGGAGAGGTGTAGGTCTAGGCACTAGCGTCCTGGCACCCCAAACCACCCCCAAAAGCTTTAAAGTGTCGGATTTCCCTCCGCGGCCTCTGGTCCTGGCCAGGTTCCAGGGGGGTGAGGCGGCAGGGCCACCACCAGCCGCGGAGAGAAGAGCGCGTCTGCTCTCTACGCGCTGGCTCGGCCGCTGCCAGCCGACTTGTGGGGCGAAGGAGCAAGTTAGCCTGATCGCTGGCAGAAAACGCCGTCGATTGAGCCTTGGGTTGTATATGTTCTGATTTTTTTGTTTGGGTTTGAAGTGCATTGGACGGCGTTAATCACAATCCTTAGTGCACGGCGCGTTACCATCAGGCCCAGGCTTTCCCTGGCCTTTACTTTCCCCCAGGCCCAACCCCTCTTCCCTGCCCTTGGTGTAGCATTGTTTGCGTCCGAGTTTTACGCAGATGGCATGGTATTATACATCTTTGTATTTCTTCCATTCTTCGGACTTGAGGCCAGAGAGATTACCCAATTTGAACCAGGTCTGATTTTGAAACCTGTGTTCTCAATTATTAGGTCATCACTACCTTTTCTGGTAATTGAGTAACTCAAAACACAAACTTGTACACCAATAAAAGAGGACTATCACTGGTCATTCACCTTAAGGCTCCCTTGCAAAAAGCAGAATGTTTTATCCAGAAATAACAAAGATCAGCAGATTAAGCATCTGCCCCTGCCAGAGGACATCTAGAAGACTGGAGAACATCACTGAGGGAAGGACGAAAGAAACCAAGGAGAAGCAGCAGACGAGGCAGGAGGAACAGACTCACACAAAGGAGGAGACACCCTGCCCCCAGTGATTTTGGGTCATTTGATGTTCATGGTAGAAGCCACAGGTTCTGCCTTCCACTTAAGCTAATGACACCAGGGCATTGTCACATTTTACCTGTTATCCTTGAAAACACGATTGGCTTATTAACTACTCTTCATTGGGTGTTCAAGGTTCTCCACTGCAACCTGACCTTTTGATCTTATTTTTTCTACCCTTGGGTTCATTTTAAGCTGTCAAACCTCTGCATTTTATTCTAGGTATGCCCCTGACTTGAGTCCTTTCCTTTCCTTCTCTGCCTATGTAAATCCTTCTGGAACTGCTACACACCCCACACACACACACACTGTTTCTTTTACTTTTCATGTGTCTAGACTAATTTCCCTTATTGGTTGCTAGCTCTTTGAGAGTGAGGATTGCCAGCTGGGTCCAGCTGTTAATCTAGGCAAAGTCTCTTCTTTTCTGGGCCTCGGTTTCCTCTTCTATATAATAAGGGGTTATTAAACCAGTTGATTTCTGTACTACCTTCCAGTGGTTTCTGTTGATTCCCACCACATCACCTAGCCTGATCCAGGCCATCTAGACAGATGCACCCCTCAGTCAGGTGCTAAGAAAATCATCAATCAATAGCATGCTGATTGGTTTGGTACAAGTGGGGTTGGGGGTTGGGGGTGCAGTAGAGGCTGATCCCCATTCCTCAGGCCCAGCAAGGGCAATGTTCCCAGAATCAGTGCTCAACTACAAAGTCAGGGACTGTGTCTGAGTCCTCTCTAGTTCTCCAGGCCTGGCATGTGGTAGTGCAAATTAAATGTTGTCAGATAAATGAATAAGAGCCAAAGACACCTTGTCTGGGTCCTTGGGGCTCCTGTCGTGGAGTTCAGACCTCATATTGGATCCGAGACTTTCCCGATTGTCTGCCTTTCCCTGCTTTCCATACCATACCAAAATCTCTGACTAAGCACTCTGGGCATTAACCCTTGTAGCCCTCACAGTGTTTTTATTATTTCTACTTACAGATCAGGAAATTAAAGGCCAGAGGGGTAAAGTAACTTTCCCAAGCCATGGAGCTGGTATGTGACTGAGCCATGGCTTCGGCCAA